CCATCAATGTAATCAATTATCATCATATCTACGACAATTATTAATGGACCATACTCTGTCCTGATACTCTGGGTAGCTACACGTATTTCTGGATCTCATTTATGTTAGTACTAAAAATCTCTCTTGCTAAACCAAAGTCTAAGAGGCACACGAGAAATATATGGAAAATTCTGACCTGTTATTATTCCAATGACCTCTGCAGAAATGAGGGACTGAACGGAAAAAAACTGAAGATCATCTGCTTGCATTGTTAGTCTATTTTTCTAAGTGAAAACTTTTATTATGCTTACCTAAGTGCTGTGTCCTGTGTTAGAAATCTAAATTTTAATTTATAAGAAAACCAAGGTAAACATCTTGAACTTAGTGAAGTGCGGATTGTCAGCTACATGCTTTAAAAGTTAAAAAAAAAAAATTACCTCTTTATTTCTTTCTTTCCTTTTTTTTCTTTTTTTTCCTTTTGGTCCTGAGGACTCCCCTGGCAGTGCCCAGGAGCGGCTCCTTTCTCTGCTCGGGGGCTGCTCAGGGGACCAGGCAGTGACAGATGTAACTCAGGACTCCCGCAGGCAAAGCATGCGTTCCGCCTGTTTTGCATCTCTCCAGCCCTATTTTTCTTTGTAAGGAAGACTACAAATGAGCTTTTCTCATGTGCCAGAAAATAATTTTGGTTTGGTTTTTTTGGTATCCAGCAGTGCTAGGGAACCATGCAGAGTGTGCGCGGCTGCCCTTTGAGCCCTCTCCCTTGGCTCCTTAAAAATAATCTAATAGCACCCTTCAAATTTTACCAACAAAGAACTAATTTAGCAACTTAATTTCCTGTAATAGAAATGTAATTCTCTAATAAGAAGCACCAAAAGTTCAAATAATATGAAGAGTATATATTAACACAACTTTGCAAAACAATCTAAGGAGACCTAAAATCATGTATGTTTTCTATGGTGATCCGAGGAAGAATAGAAGCGTAAGATTCAACATTATGAATGATTAGATTGAAATCAAATATCCACTGAAGAAGTGGGATAAATTCAGATATATCACTGCATTTGCATGCAGTTTAATTACAGTAACTATTTTCAATAACAGTGAGTTAAATTACAATGACTATTTTCAGTAACAATAATATACATACACAATGCAATACCATGCAGGTTATTAAGAAAGGATGAATTCTTGGGCTGGAGAAAGAGTAAAGGTTAAGGAGCTAGCCCAGCAAGCAGATGTAGCCACGACTCTGGTTCAAATTCTGATACAGCCTACGGTTCCTGAGCACCACCAGACATGGTTCCTAGCTCGTCACAAAAAGTAGAACAACAACAAAAAACCGACAACAAAAAAAAGATGGATTCTTGTAACTGACTGCAACTTGGATGGAACTAGAGGGTATCATATTGAGTGAAGTAAGTCAGAGGGAAGACAGATACTAGATAATCTCACTCACATGTGTTATACAGAGAAAACATGGGAAAAGATAACAGTGAATCATGACAACCCCTGCCCTTGGATTACAAGGATTGAGATTACCGAGCAAGGGAGGTTGTGGGGGGGGGGGGGGGGGGGAATGAAGACACGGAGACAGACTACAAGCAAAGTAAGGACATTGCTCTGGTGAGATGTGGTAATTGTACATCAAAGCCATAGACAATTACACTATTGTCAACATGTTACCAAATGATAGCAACTATCACATGCTCAAAATAATAAAAATTTAATAGCCATTCTCTAATAAGAAGCACGAAAAGTTCAAATAATATGAAGAGAGTGTATTAACACAATTAATTTCGCAAAACAACGTAGGGAGATCTAAAATCAAGTATGTTTCTTATGGTGATCTGAGGAAGAAAGCCCAGATTATATCTTTAGTTTATACAAAGAACAAAGATATCCTTCAGTTAAAAAAGTCAAAAAAGAACATTTGACTTTTCCCATATAAATATAGCTACTAACTTTGAAAATTAAATACAGCTATAGGTTATATAAAGAATATGAACATTGCTATTCTCATTTTGATCCTTAGAAATAATTCAATAGGGCCAAGAGTGATAGTACAATTGGTAGAGCGCTTGTCTTGAACACAGTGGACCCAAAGTCAACACCCAGGCACTCCACAGTCATCTCCCCAGACCCACCAGGTGACCCCTGAAAACAGAGCTAGTAGTAAACCCTGAGCACCACTGGGTATGGGCCAAAAAGACAAAAGAAAGAATTCAACAGTTACAATAATTTAATAATAGTTTCAAACAACTACCTATGGAGTTTCTGATTTTAAATCCAACCAATAGTTGGTCTACATAAACTTTATAAACAGAGCAATTTACATTAGTATTCATACTTAGCATTAAAGAGTAGATTACTCTTTTTTTTCCAAACAAACTTTATCTCAGTCTATATGTTTTGGCAATTAATTCACTGACAAAAAAAAAATAATAAAAATATTCCACAGCCAAGGACTACTTCCTTGTCTCCTTCCCAATTAAAATACTTTATCTATAAATTAATACAGAGTTTAAGAACAAATATAGAAAAGTGGATCTAAAAAGCTAATATCTCTAAACTTCAGCTTCTGCTACAAAGTTTTCTTTGGAGTTAAAACTACTAAAATTTTTGTCAGAAAACCTACACTCAACTGATTCTACTCTCAGTTACACAAAGAAGAACATGTGATCCTCCCAGGACTAGTTTCTCAGATGAAAAATCTTGCTGAAAGATCTTCAAATGAGAACTATCTTACACAGTTTGGAAGAGTAAATGTTTGAAATGTCAAGTGACAAGTATAATAAAACGTGAATGTGAATCACATGTGAACACCAAAACTCTTAGATCTGTTTGCTGGAAACTTTCTTAAATAGCTTAAAATTCACTAAAATCGGAACACCAAAATATAAGTAAAATGAAAATGCAAGAGAAATACAACCAAAAAACACGGCAAAAAAGATGATGAAAAAATCTCACACCCTCCCGAAATAAAAAGTGAATTCATATTAAGTTTTGAGACAATTGAGGACTATATCCAGATGAAGGATGATTTCAATTTTAACCAAACCTTAACACATTCTGTTTCATTTAAGCAAATTCATCTTAGTTAAAAAAAAAAATTCATGGTTCTCAGATCAGAATTGTTTTTCTCACAAACACAGAACAAGAAGTATGTAAGGTACTTTACTCCCAAAAATTTTATGTCATAGAAACAGGACTACAGCAAAAATATCAGGCAAACAAAATGATAACCTATGAGTTATGAGCAAGCATCGAGTCCCTAACTAAGGTAGGGTGAAATATTCTAACTATTAAAAGGGGCATTCCACACATTTTGAAAATTCAGGCAATCTCTAAACATTCTCTAAACCAGTCCAGCTGTAAGATAGTCCAGCAATTTTGTTTTGTTTGGGGCCACACTCAAGTGATGTTCAGGGGTTACCCCCGACTGCACTCAGAAGTCACTCCTGGCTGTGCTCATAGAAGATATTGAGCGCTGAACCCAGGTTGGCCGCATACAAGGCACGTGCCCTCCCCACTGTACTATGGTTCCAGCCCCAAGTACTGCAATTTGAATACTGACTTGAAGCCAATCTTGCTTCAAAATTCGATAATAACTGCATCTGAACAATGAAAACTTAGCCACGGGTAGTTTCAAAGAAGTTGGCCCTTCAGGAAGCAGTAAGTAACAAAATGCTCTACATTAGAATCCACAAGTATTCTTTTCCTTAAAGTTCAACAACAAACAGGCTTTGTTAAAACACTACCATCAACACATTTCCCTCAAAAACCTGAGGACACCAAATCTTAGTTATGACCCCAACCTCCAATGCCGCTTTGAATAACCTCCAGCCATTTAATATGCATTTGATTCATTTCTTCTGTAAAATCGTCGATTGCCTCGAGCAGGCCCCAGTAACGTCTCTTTCATCCTAGCCCTGAGATTATATTCACGGCTCTTTAGGAGAATGAGATCCATCATTGTTACTGGTATTTGGCATATTGGGTACGCCACGGGGAGTTTGCCAGACTCTGCCCTGTGGGCAGGCTACATTCGATATTTCTGTAAAATAGAACACAAATAATTTCAAGAAATAAAAACTAAGAGTGGAAAATTGGGTTCTTCAGATAAAACATGGCCAACTGTATGACTCAAAATTACACAAGAAAAACTACTCAAGAATGCCTGGAACATTCTGAACACTTAGTGTTAATCAAGTAGGAATATATATTTATAAACAATATCAACAATGAATATGTAACAACTCAAACTTTGTCTATAACCCAGGCAAACAAATCTAAGAACAAAGATATTTTCTGATAGTGAAGCCTGCCAGATAACACAATAGGGAAAAAGAAGTTTAAGATGTCTGGTAAGATCTGCTGGCAGTGTTCTATATTAGTATTTAGTAATAACCTTTCTCTAGTCATAATAATCAAAATTTTCCTTTGAAAAATGAAACAGCTCTGGTGATAAAATCACAAATTCTTCAGAGAAGTCTCTTTTCTACTTGTTTCCATGGTTTTCAATGATCAAACCTGAATATATAAGTATAGAAACATCAGAAATCCTACAGGCACCTTTAGTATTAGGAGGCGACCAGAATTGTTTTAGCTAGCCATTATACCATTTGCAAGTGGAAATAACACCAAAGTGTAAATTATCTTCAGCCCTAAGAAAACAACAGATTTAGTCACCAAAAAGCAGGATGAGTAGAGTTGACAAAAAAGTCCCAGATCCTCACTCCCTAACTATATGAAATCACTTGATCTTTCTCAGCCTTGCTTTCTTTATCTGTAAAATGGGGATAATCTCCCACAAGGTCATTTAGAAGATCAAGAGAGATAATATCTTAAAAAGCACTTAGAGCCTAAAATGTGTAATACAAACATGGATCAGAGACCACTTTTGTTGTTGCATGAGCACTAGTGTTTCTAACACAGACTTTCTCTTCTAAATATAACTTCTGATTTCATAGCAAAGCACCACCATTATTCAGAATTGCTTTTTGAAAAAAAAAAAAACTTGCCTTCGATTGAGTTCTCTTTCCATTTCTTATGCTAAACTTCTCCTTCATTTCTTCTAAGATGATCTTCAGTTTCTTTTCTTCGGGCGTCCCTAGGTATTTTTGGTTCACGTGAAGATAGCAATGCCATTTGGCTGATTCAAAGCCCCAGTGACAAGTCCTTTTGTCAGGTGACCTGTGGGAATGCATCACAAACGTCTGTGGTGCAAACATGCCGCAACACTCCAGACACTGAATGCACGGTGCATCAGGCTGAACATAAAACTGGGGTGCAAACAGACCCTGACACTTGCCAAGGCATTCGTGTTCCACTTCAAAGGCACGGCCCGTTTCCTTTAACTGGGCCAATGAGCTCTTAGCAGGAAGTAGACTACTATTTTGGGGGAAAGTGCGTGGTCGCAGTAAAGCATTACAGAGTCTCTGAGCATCAGTCAATGTGATCAACCCACAGGACGGGGCATTGAACGGAAGTATTCCCAGGACCTTCAAGATATGAAGCTGGTCGGAGGAACACCTTGAGCAATAAATATACAGCTCATCGCACACTGTATTTATTTGCTGGAGTGAAAATTCTCGGAGGACAGAATTTAGGACTTGAGGCAAACACAGTCTCTTTTCCCCTCCGACCTGAAAGCAAGAAATCGACTCCCCTTCCAACACAGTCTGCGTGAGCTCGGTGGAGCTGTCAGAAGGAATGAGGAGTGGGCCAGGAAGGACCTGAGGCGACGGGAGAGGCAGAAACACTGTAGGCGACATGCTCTCTTGGGAATACCGGGCTGAAAACGCCGCTGGACCACCCAGAGAGCTCTGACTACTCAAGTGAAATTGGGCTAGAGTGTGCTTCAGACTGGGATTTAAATGCAACGGTTCGGGCACCGAGGCGCAGGCCCGCTTGACCGGCTCTCCGTCCGTGTCCATTGGCGCTTCCCCGTAGTCATCCAAGTGTTCCTTCTTCACCGTAGGCATTTTGTTCATCCCCGTTTTTCCACTCGCGTGAATGTCCGTCATCATTTTTTTCACTGGAGGACTGCCATCGTCTTCCATCCCATTCAGTTTTTTACTTGAGCACTGAACCGCGGAGAAACTTGTCTGTAGGTTTTCCATTGCTAAAAAGTATCAAGTTTAAATAACCAAGTCTGAGATTTGCATTGTTACTTAATTCCGTATTTGAAGGAAAGAGAGTAACATATACCAATAATTATGGTAACTCAACTCTCCTAAAAAGAAATTTCAAAAAAATTTTTCCAAATTTCCCTGCAGTACTCAAGAGATGTTGCAACTGTATTCTGTTTGCACTCAAAATTTCAGGGCAAATGCTGTAAAATTTCTCCTTGCCCCTAACAAGAAAGAATATGATTTTAACAGTCAGCCTGGGAAAAAGTCTCTTTAAAAAAATTCTTTAGATTATATACAAAATCAAAAAGTCAGTAATTTTCTCAAATCAAGATGCCTAGGTAAAGGTAATCTGTTTTTTAGCAAAAGACAGAGAAATGTACGCAACTGCTCGTGTCACAAAATTAGACACAAGCAAGTCAATATGCTGCACCCAAAATTAATTTTTGGCACTGAAGACACACACACACACACAAAGTGGGGGAGTGAAGGACCGTCTCTCAAAATGATCTGTTGGTCTGTGTTGATAAAATAAAAGCTTATAAATCTTCGAACCAGTAAGAAAACTCTTTGACTCCACTTGAACTTAATTGAAAATGGTACAAGTAAAATTGCTCAGTTCTCTTCAAGAATTACTGTTTGTTCTTCTTTCAATGAATCTGGAAGAGAAGGGGGATGGGAAGTTAAATTTGAATTTGCTCCAGAGGCCAGAGGGTCAGTTTGAAACCAGTTTCTTAATCTTAAACTGAGTTCACTTTACCAAAGGTAAATCTTGAACGATTTCTTTAAATTCAATACCAGTTAGCTAAAAGAACCTGAATTTAAAAGGGAAAGCCCTTGAAGAACGGGTGAAGGGAGGAAAAAAGGACAAGTAAATGGAACTCTATTTCAGCCTAGGTCCAACCTCAAACACACTGTCGCACCCAGAGGCTTTCTCGGTTATGTCATTTTTATCTAAAACCATCTATTATCGCTCTCCTAATGTTAAAAAAAAAAAGGAACCGGTTCCATGCAGAAAAATTTGATACTTCAAGTGAACCTAACTACCATATGCAACTCAGTTGCGATCTTAAGTGCATTAATCTATCTGTTTTTCTGGAGTGACTGTAAACAAAAATTAACTTTTCCTTTAAAAGGCTGGCAATTTTTTGCTTCATGGAAGCCAAGAGCCTGGGACTCTCCATCCTTGAACCAGACTAATCTGGGACAAAAAGCACAAGGCAGACAGACCTCACAAAGAATGCAAATGGAGGAAGAGAGGGGCAAGAAAAGATTCTTCTTCCACTTCCTCCTCGAGAGAAGATCCAAACTGAAGCCCGACAGGCAAACTGCAAGGTCTTCTTTCCAAAGTCCCAGCCCATACACCTTACGGCAGACCCCGAAGGGTTAAGGACCAAGGCCACTCGCCAGGGCGCCTCCTGCCTCTCCTGGGCCCCGACGGGCACCCCTCGGCCCGACGGAGGCCAACGCAGGGGCAAGAGGCAGCACCCAGACCGGGGGAGCCCCCCCCCCCCGACCCAAACCCTCCGCCCCCGCAGAGACAGCCACCCAGCCCGGACCCGAGTGGGCGGGAGAAAGTGGACCAGAAGGCCGGAGCCCCTCGGGGTGTGCCACGGGGCGGTGGGAACCCCTGGAAGAGGGTGCCCCCGCAGCCGGCGCACCCCCGGACAGCCCCAGGACCCCCGCACCTGGTCGCTCCCCCGGGGCCCCGGGGCCCCGGGGCGGTGGAAACCCCCGCCCCGCCCGCGCGCCCTCCGCTCCCCAGGAAGTTCTGGGGTGTTCCCCGGGCACCCCGGGTGTCGCAGCTCCCGGGGCCGCCGCGCGGGGTTCCCGCAGGTGAGCGCCGAGCCGGGATCCCGCGCGCGCATCCCCGGGGCGCGCAGACGCGGGGGGCCGGGGGGCGGCAGGCGTCCAGGTCCCCCGGGCCGACGGCTGCGGTCAAGTGCGGCGGCCGGCGAGGCGGGAGCAGCCGCGGGACGCCCCCCACCCCCGGGGACCCCCCGGCGGCGGCGACCCCCACGCCACCCCACCCCCCCACCCCGCACCCCCGCCGGGACCCGCGCATCCGAACCCGGGACTCCGGCCTCGGCGCCCCGGGCAGCCCCACGAGCTTTGTTAGTGGCCCGGGGGGGCCCGGCACCGCCGTCGGGCTCCCCCGCAGGGCCCCGCACCCGGGGGTCCCCCCCGCCCCGAACTCCCAGGGGCCCGGCCGCCCCGCCGCCAGCCGAGCCGCACCTGTGCCCGCCGCCGCCGCCGCGCCGCTCGCCCGCTCCCTCCGCCTGTGCCGGCGCGACTCCGAACCCCACACACATCGCTACACACGGCCTCTGACGTCACCGGGCCCTCGGCCCGCCCACGTCACTGCGGAGACACACGGCTTCCCGCAGACGCCGCCGCCGCCGCCGTCTCCGGCCGCCCGGGGGAGAGCGAGGGCGGCGGCGGGGGAGGGGCGGCGAGTCTGGCCGGCCGCGGCCCCGCGCGTGCACGCGTGCGCGCGCGCGCGGTCACGCCGCCGCCGCCTCGACCTCGCGGCGGCGGCGGCGGCCCGGGCCCTCGGGGACGCGCGCGCCGTCTGGCCTATTGTGGCTCCAGGGCCCGCGCGCGCCCGCGAGGCCTCCCCGCCCCCCACCGCCCCCCCCCACGCCGCCGCCGCCGGGCGCGCGCCTGCCGGAGTCCGGGCCCCGCGCGCCGTCTGGGCGGCTGGCGCGCGGCGCTGTCTGCGGTGCGCCCGGCGCAGACAGGATGTTCCCTCCCGCCCCTCCCCTCCCTCCCTCGCTCCCCTCCCCCCGCCCGCCGCCCTCCTTCCTTCCTTCCTTCCTTCCTTCCTCCAGCCGCCCCAGCCGGCTGTCTGGGCCGCCCGCGCCCCGCCCCCGCCCCACCCGCCGCGCGCTGGGGCCCGGCCAGACCCGGGGGCGCCCCGGCCCCGAGAGACGGGGGGAGGGGGCAGGGCGGCCGCGCCGTGCACTGGGCGCGACCCCGGCCGCCGGCGGGGCGGGGGCGGGGCCCGCGGGCAGAGCGCCGCCGCCCGAGGTCAGGCGCGGGCGACACCCGCCGCCTCCCACCCCGCCCCCCGCCCCGCTCCCCGCGCGCGCGGGGTCGCAGCTGGGCCGCCCCGCCCCGCCCCGGAGGCCGCCGGGTGGCCCCCGGGGTCCCTCTCCGCCCCCCGCCCCGCCAGCTGCTGGCGCGGCGCCGCGCCCGCCCCGCCCCGCCCCGCCGCCGCCGCCTCCGCCCAGACGCCGCCGGGCCCCGGGCTGACCCCGCCGCCGCCGCGCCGCAGGGACGGGTCGGCCGGGCCCGGCGCGACCCGGGTGGCCCCGCCGCCGCCCTCCCCGCCTCCCTCCCTCCCTCCCGGGCCCACGAGGAACGGAGGCGGCGAGCTGCACCGCGCTGCTCGGCGCGGCGGGGGCGCCGCCGTCTGCGGGCGCGGGCCGAGCCCCGGGGGGCGGCCCCGGCCCCCGCCCACGTCGCAACCCGGAGGAAACCCCCCCTGGGCTGCAATGCAGCCCGCCGCCGCCGCGGAGCAGGAACTGAAACGGCGCCCGAGTCGCGGGCCGCCTTCCCCCCTCTCCCCTCCCTCCCTGGGGCCCCGCTGCGGCGCCCCCGCTTTTCCGCGCTCGGAGGTCGCTCCCCGGGAGCCCTCGGGGGCAGCCCCCCGGCCCGCCGCCTGCAAAGACGCCGCTGCTCGCACTTTTTTTTTCCTTTTTTTTCCCTCCCTGAAAGCTGGCCCGCAAAGCTCCGACCTCCCCTCCCTCCCGACTCCCCAGTTCCCGTCTCTGCGCCCCCGCCGCCGCTGCAGCCGAGCTCCGGGGTCGCGCCCCCTCGCCCGCCCGCCCCCCTCTCCTCTCGACTACCTCTTTTCCAGAACATGAATAATTCCGCAGCACTTCCCATCTGTTATTGCCATAGAGACAGAAGCTCGGCAAAGATAATGATGTTCTGGGCAGAGCCAGTGGGGAGAGAATAGCATCTGTGAGTCTGGGGGATAGATTTTTTTTTATTTTTATTTTTTTTCCTTTTACTGCTCGAATATTCAGAAGGCCTGGCCAAAGATCTGCTGTACAAAACTGGCCGGTCCTGACCCTTGGCGTCCGGTCAAGTTGCGGCACCTGGCCCCTATGTCGAGCGAACAGAAACAATTTTTAGAAACCAAAAGGACAGATCTTTTTTCACAAAGTAATTTCGAACTACCATCGATGCTGCATGTTTAGTGCTCTCTTGTTCAGCCATAAAAAAAAAAATACCCAAAGATCTAACTACATTGGACAATAGACTTTTTGAAAATGCAAACAGATTCCTCTTCTCTGTTCTTTTGTTCCCCCAGGAATCTGTATGTTAGGAAGGATCTTATGTGCCTCTGATTTTATGTGCAATCCTTTGAGGACTAGTGGCAGGAGAAATGTTGCCAGAATCAAGGAAGCTTTGAGAGCATTTTTTTCCCCCAATTCGCCAAAGTGAAATTCAACGAAACATACCGCGTTAAAATTCGTTTCGTCCCTGAATTCCCAAGGTATGGATTTGAACACAAGTGAGAAGAGGCAGGGTGCGTTTAACATCTGTTGCGATTGGTGACTCTCACTATAAGCCATATTCTTGCTAAAATATGGATTTTAGAAGAACTATCAGTAGATAGGATTGTACAAGTAAGAGAAAAATTCTGAAACATGATTATGGTTCTTGATCTGAGAAACAATTGAAGGGACGCTGAATAGAGGCCTTCGAAAAAATAAGTTCTGTGTAGTAATGAATAGTGGGTTTCATTGGTACTTAAAAGTCAGCCTATGTGTAGATTAGCACATGGGCATTAGATTAGTAACAGTGGTCTCCTACTTCATCTATTTGGCTGCCAGTGAAGCTGATCAAGACTACTGATGCCTCTGTGCATACAAAACTTCCAATTGTACCAGAGAGATAGCACAGAAGTTGAGGTACTTGCTTTGCATGTGGCTTAAAAATTATTTGGAAAAGATAATTCCAAATGATTGAGGAAGGAGCAGGGTCCACTATCCTTTGTTTCTGCTTTCATTAAGCAAAACAGATAGAAAATCCAATTCTAGACTCCTAGCTGGTCTGGAATTTCTTCCATCATTATGGTTGACTGGAAAAAAAATCGAAACCATGAATTTAGAGATTATAAATTTAAGACCAGTTCACCTATCAGCTTGATAAATGGTTTGGAACAAGTACATTCCTCTTATCTCCACTTACTGATCTATATTGATAATAGATTAGCATATAGACTATGAAATACAGGAAATAATATGACAGGAAATGTAAGAATAGAGTAAAATATGTACTGTGTAAATTAATTTTTACAGAAGATGAGAATTAAAGTCAAGTGTTAATTAAAACATACAGTGTCTTATGTTTTTATATCACCTGTTCTTTTTGTTGTTGTTTTGTTTGGGGGCCTTACCTAGCAGTGAACAGGTCGAACAGGTCTTATTCCTGGCTCGACACTCAAAGATCAGTCCTGGAAGACTCCAGGGACCTTATGGGGTACCAGGGATTGAACCTGTGTTGATCACTGGCAAGGCAAGTGCCCTACCTGCTGTACTCACTTTTTGTTGGCTGGAGCGATAGCACAGTGGTAGGGTGTTCTGTTCGCCTTACAAGCGGCCAACATGGCCGACCCAAGTTTGATTCCTCCGCCCCTCCCGGCAAGCTACCGAGAGTATTCGATATGCCAGACACAGTAACAACAAAGTCTCCAATGGAGACGTTACTGGGCCCGCTCAAGCAAATCGATGATCAACGGGAGGGCCTTTACTTTACTTTTACTTTATTCTATAACACTGGACATAGAGTTAACTGTCAAATTAAACGTCAAATTCCAAAGGAAGGGCTTCAGAATGAAACTGTCTATGTTCTCCTGTCATGTGATCCCCTTTCTATTTTTCCGTTTTCTCTTGATTTACACATTTCTTAAATTAACCTATAAATGATGACCCTACTTTTTTTATTTTTATACATTTTATTTTGATAAAGTAGTTCACAATAGTTCATTACAAATAATATTCAAACACCCACCCAACCAGCAAGCATCTTCCCACCACAATAAGAGGGAAGTGTGTGAAGGTTGTTGATTTCGTTCTCGGGCCATTTAAGCCCGAATAAGAGAACACAGGCAAGTATGTTAAAACCAAACACACATGTGCTGCTTTAGACACATCAGTGAACTAGAGTATAAGAAGCCGCGTTCTCCAGAAAATACTGTGCGCTCCCTTCCCGGAGCTTTGTTTTATAGTCTCTGGATCTTGGCTGTTGATGAGATTACATTGGGGGGCAGCGGGGAGGAGAGTGGTTTGGGTGCCACTGCCGAGCTACTGGAAAATTGGGCATCTCGGTGGAGGAGGCCCAGTCCCAATCTGAGCAGGCTTGGAGATTTCAGCCCCGGGTCCCGCACACCTGGGTTCCTTTGCTGGTTCCTTCATACGTGAGACTCATCCGAGCATGGGGAGAGTGGCCTTGAGCATGGCTGTGGCTGGGTTCTGGAAGTATTTGACTGCCAGGGTTCTGCTTGGAGCGGGGAGGAAAACTCAACCCACCCCCCTCCAAGGGGTTCAGTGAAGACAGCCTGGCGTGGGGGCAGGAGATTCTCTACTTTCTAAATTTTAATAAAGCTTCATGATTTACAAAGCTCTTCACAGTTGGGCTTCAAACATACTGTGCTCCAGCACCAATGCTTTCCTCCTTCCACCAGGGTTCTCAGGTTCCTTCCCACCGACCCACCTCTCATCCCCAGCCTGCTACCTTGACAGGCATGTTTTTTTAGTTTGGTTGTTGAAGTTTGAATCTCTTGTTTCCAGCATTGTTGGCTCTGTGGTTTGGATATTTCGCTCTTCCACCTTTTTTTTCTTTTTGGGTCACACCCGGCGATGCACAGGGGTTCCTCCTGGCTCATGCACTCAGGAATGACTCCTGGCGGTGCTCAGGGGACCATATGGGATGCTGGGAATCAAACCCGGGTCAGCCGTGTGCAAGGCAAACGCCCTACCTGCTGTGCTATCACTCCAGCCCCTTCCACTTCTTTACATCACTAGTGTGTTTACATCCCCTTGCATCCTGCTCCTCATTGCTTCCTGTCTATCTCTCCTTTCCTCCTTGATTTCTTTCCTTCCCCCTATAATCTGGGGCCAAAGGTGATTTAGGCATCCCCCTTCCAAACATTGTATCCCGTTGTCTCATTATTCTGTATACCACATGTAAGCAAGATCATCCTGTATTTATCCCTCTTCTGGCCTATTTCCTGTCGCTTAGTGTCTTCCAGTTCCATGTTGCAGCAAGTTGTATGATTTTATCTCACAGCTGCTTTCTGTAAATCTGCCAGATCTTCCTGATCCATTCATCTATCACTGGAAACCTCGATTGATTCCATGTCTTAGCTAATGTGCTGCAATGAATAATGGTGTACATATGTCTTTTTGAATAAATGTTTTTGTGCCTGAGAGTAGATATGGAGAAAAGCTGGGTCTTGTGGCAGCTCAGTCCTTAGTTTATGGAGATATTTCCGTACTGTTTTCCAAAAAGGTTGAATTGCAGTGGATGAGAGTTCTTCTTTCACCAGCATCCCATCCTGCTGCTCTTTTTTAAAGAATTTAGTTGTACCAAGTAGTTCTTTTTTGCATACTCTTTATTGAAAGAGCTATGCTTGGAGTATCACGCTTCACTCAACTGAGAGATAGAATCCGGAGTTCCGATCTCCGTCAACGATCAAGAATCAGGGATGCTGTCTCATTTGCCAAGGCATCAAAAGTCAGATGGACTGGACACGTAATGAAGTTTAGAGACGACCGCTGGACTAGAGCCATTACTGACTGGATTCCACGGGACGTCAAAAGATCATGTGGACACCCACCTACAAGATGGTCAGACTTCTTCGTCAAGACCCTGAATGATCGTTTTGAGGCTCTGCATATTCCTAGAACGAGCAGATGCCATTCTGCTACGCTAGCACGCAACAGGGATGAATGGAGACATTACTGGCACCTGCTCAAGTAAATCGATGAGTAACAGGGTATCAAGTGATCAAGTAGTTCTAGACCTTTTCTTCCCCTTTGATTCTCAGCAACAACAAAAAACTTACTCAAAATATTTCTTTCAGGAAGTCAAATGCTACATGATCCTTCAGTTTTCCAAAATCTTAACAACTTCCTATCCATCTCATTTTTTTTTTCTGTAGCTATACATTGATTTCAACTTGTCAGAATTATAGCACTGTCTTCCCGTTGTTCAACAATTTGCTCGAGCAGGCACCAGTAATGTCTCACAACAAATTGTGAGACTTGTTGTTACTCTATTTAGCATATCAAATACATCACGGGGAGCTTGCCAGGCTTTGCCATGTGGGCGAGATACTCTTGGTAGCTTGCTGGGCTCTCCGAGAGGGGCGGAGGAATCTAACCCAGGTCAGCACTGTCGGCTGCATACAAGGCAAATGCCTTACCTACTGTGTTATTGCTCCAGTCCGTCAGAATATGATGCCTTTTCATTTCTTCATAGCACTTTAATTTATTTCATACCTACCCTCTTTACAATGTACTTTATTCTTATATTTACTTAGTACTACTTAGTGTTCTTTGACAGTACAAAGTTCCCTCGCCTCATTGATGAGGTTTTTCCTTAGAGCCCCTTTCTCCCAAGTGCCAAGGCCAGGGATGTTGTCCAGTGGACAGAAAGAGCACATAAATTGTATATTTAAAGTCCTGAATTGAACATCCCACACCATACACGCACATACACACACACATCTCAAATAAGATTACATTTAAAAGAAATCTCGGCCCAGGGACTAGCAGCCTGGTTTGAGTTCATTGAGGTCATGAGTACAAACATATTATGTGTGATCCTGGCAGCCAAGGGTGAGAGGACA